TTTACTAAATACACTAGACTAATCGCCATGCCAGAGACAACAATGACTGAGCACGTCATCAAGTTGTTTATGGACAACTGGGTGCGTGATTTTGAACTACCTAAAACAATTGTTAGTGACAGAGATGTTAGATTCACCAGCGAAATGTGGAAAAGGTTGTTTAACAGATGAGGAGTAAACTCCAGATGATTTCAAGGAATCATCATGAAGCCAACGGGCAGGCTGAACAGATGAACCGCGTGGTGCAGCATCTGCTGAGGCACTACATTAAGCCCAACCAGGATGCCTGGGATGAGAAGTTACCTCTCATCGCCAGTCTGTATAACAATGTTGTGCACAACACCACCGATGTTAGTCCGAATCAGCTGCATTTGGGGTGGAAGGCTAAATCTGCTCTAGACTTCCTCCTGCCTGAAAATCGATCCGCTGCAACTCTTGGAACCATAGAATTTGGTGTCCAGTATGAGAAGTCGTTGCAGCAGGCTGTCGAACACATAAAGAAATCTCAGGAAGCAATGATTGCTTATGAGAACAAGCATCAACGACAGTCCACATTTCAAGTAGGGGAACGTGTCTGGGTAAAGGCCAGTGAGTTAGGACAGGAATTCGGTATCTCTAGAAAACTTATGCCTCAGTATTTCGGTCCTTGGGAGGTCTTAGATATTGTGGATAGTGATTTGGATGGTCCCTCGTACATGATTAGAATCCCTCGTCACGTACACACTTACCCTGTGTTTCACGCATCAAAGCTTGCACCTTTCGCTGAGACACAGCAATTCCCATCAAGAAGATCAATGCTGCCCCCAACCATAGATGGTCACGTGGACGTTGATGATAATCTGGAACACAGAGACATGCCTGTTCCCAAGCCAGCTGCCCGGGCAAGACCGCCTAAACCTATGAGAGAGTACCGGGTTCGGTTCAGGCATCATACGGATCCTAAGGAAGATCATTGGTTCACAAGAGAGGAACTTGTCAAGACAGCTCCTCAGATCGTGGCTGAGTACGAATGAAGACTGAAGGGGAAGGCACCTGCATGAAGCATCTAAGTGGACTTTCGAAGCTAAGGGGGATGGAATGCGAGGAATGAGCCCTCGCAGGGCCCTTATCAGACATGCACATGTTCTGGGCAGAGGCCCTCAGCAAGCCCTGTACCCACCCTAAGTGAAGGCGGGCCTGAATATTCACAAGAGGCCAAAATTTGACATTTTTCCAGATGTGTGTACTCGGACAGTTGCAGAGATGGGCCTGGGCGCAGGCACTGGGGCCTGACCGGAAGCTACTGGAAGCTTCTCAGCCAGGCCCACACGCAGCAAAACAGAGGCTGCCACTTCCATATAGGAAGTAAGGCAGCCAGGGTCTGGCATTCTGGCCCACACTGGCAATGCGGTCACGCTGCTGCGTTGCTGCACGAGTGGCTGCTTGCTGCGTTATCGGCCAGGGGTGCATGTGGACGCCTGGGAGGTGAGAGGGGCGCTGCAGGGCAGCAGGGCGTGTGCGGCCATAGCCGGGCTGCAGGGCACGAGGGGGTGAAGGCGATCGGTGGTCTTCAGGAAGGAGGCACGTGTGGGTGGTCAGGGGGTGATGAGGGGAGACGAGATACGTACCTGGTGCATGAGGGAGGTCGGCATTGGTGTTGACGTCCTGTACATGGGTCTTCAAAGTCAAAGTGAGCCTGTTGCGTGAATGCGGCTGTAGTAGGATAGGCTAGGTAGAGTAGGAAGGGCGCTGGGCGCCATACAGTAGGAGCGACGTTGGACTGCGTTGGTGTGTCCTGAGGGCATGAACATTGGCTCATGAGTTCATTGTATCGCTCTTATATGGATGGAATCTTGGTGCATTTATGCTCTCTGCTTTGTACATGACTACTTGGACATCTGTGTGATTTCGCAACTTGGTTTGCTGTGTAACGTTCTCTCTCATATTCCTTGCACTGGAAGATTTTCGCGAAAAACATTGATCTGCATTATATGCAATTCAGGTTATCAAGAGGCCACATATACCAACTCTTCCTTTCCTTGGGGTGACTCAACAGTCGAGGAACAGGTAACTTCAGGGCCTCTGAACGAGAGCAAAACTTCACAATTGACTCAATCCTCAGCAAACACCCATTCCCAAGGCAGGCCTTACAATTTTTGAGCTGGTCCCTACCAAATTTGCTAGTCACTACTGAGGCTCCAAAAACCCGTTTTAGGACTTTCCACGAATCAGACAAAATGATACCCCCCTGCGCAACTGCCGAGAACTACTTAATCCCAGTCCGAACACATTCATTTAGCACATGCAAATGAGAAACAGAGGAGATGCTGACAGAGGTGACGAAGAATGCAAGTCGTCTCTTCCTTGTATCATCCCCCGGGTTCACTAATTTATCCCTATCAATCTCAGGAGGGAGCTTCCTTCTCAATGCCTTGTTCCTTTCTCGCTTACCGGTCGAGAATTCTTTTTCTTTTTTGCCTTAGACCCATTAGGACGCAAGTTCAGGTAAGGGGAGGACCAGCGAAACCGAGCTTCTGCAGTAATTAAATCTTGGCACTGCATGACAGCAAGTGGGAACGCCACATAGTTATGCAGCCCAGCTCTACACAACCATCTGTAGAGTCTGTGATTCCTTAACTTCCCCGTTGGATTACCAGAAACTGAAGCGTGATACACATGCTCAGACCACCTGAGGTCGACATACCTAGTCATGCACCCACCATAAATACCTGTGCTTCATGAAAGGTGAAAGGAGTTTCAAAGGACACAATATACGACAGGCCCTGGAGAGTGCTGGAAATCATACTCAGAATCTTACAGATGCAAAGGGACAGTCTGTGAATTTTTGGCACCATGGGATTTGACGCAGGAGGATAAGCGCTATGACAATCAGTCGAACTAGGTAGTTGACTTCAGGATTAAGGAAACCGTTTCTCGGCTTACGAAGTGGCAGGCACAGACTAAGGAGGCTCCACAAGGATCGGCCACTCGGGCAAAGTTCCCACTTGTTGCCAATGATTTCCTTGTCTTCAACATCAACATGCTGAGTGGCTTCCACCTCGGCACCCTCTCGTTTGTCTCTAGCATCCATGCCTCGGAATCCTGCACCTGACGACCAGCCTTCTGTGGCGGCAGTTCACGGGCACTTCACGTGCAGGAGGCAGGAGGCAGTCTTCAGGAGTTGGCCGCAGCACTCTGGAGGAGCGCTGCAGTAGTAGTAGCTAGCGCTAGAGTAGTCTTCAGCGCTGGGCGCTGCTAGGAGGTAGAGTAGTGTTGGGAGAGAGAGAGAAGGGCGGAGGCCAGGGAGACTTACCTGTGGCGCCATAGCTCCAGCTTCGTCTTCGATGTACCTGCAACAAGGCGCCACCTTCACAGGTTAGTACTTGGTACAAGAGGGAGAGAGAGAGAGTTCTTCTTCTTCTTCCTCTAAGTCCACCATCTCTCCCTCACCCTCTTGCCACCTAACTTCTTGGTATCTGCAGACCATCAGAGAGAGAGAGAGATTGGTGACTTTGGGACTTTACGACATTTGGATCAGACTTGACATTGGGATTGAGACATTGGACGAGGGATTATTTGGGACCTATATCGAAGACTTGGTGTTGACGACATTCCCATCTTCTCCCTCTTCTTCCCTCTCTTCTTCGTCTGATCCCCCTCCTCTTCGTCTGTGTATGTTTTGGGACTGGCGCGTTCTTCCTGTGTGAGCGCCAGCCCCCTTCACACCATGCAATGATGATGAGGTATGTTCGGTCTGCATTGTGACATTGATTGGGCTGATCATTGGTATTTTAGCCTTCCGCTGCGCAATCCTGTACTATGTGAGAGAGGTCGGTTGCACCGTTACGGTATGCAACAGTTTGGTATCGGAGCGGACCTCTCAATCAGAGGATCCGCCCAATCAAGGAGCCAGCTTGCTTAATCAACTGATTGTTGATTGATTGATTGATTGATTGATTGATTGATTGATTGATTGATTGATTGTTTATTAGTGAATCAAGTAGGGCTTCGTCAAATCTCTGCATTTTTCTTTTTCTTTCTCGCAACTTCGGATATTAGCATTTTGTTTTCTGTTTCACTCTGGGCATATTAGGTGAACTATGGAGGTTGTCATATTCTCGGACTGGATCTGTTCTTCTCTGAAAGTGGAACCTCCAGTCTATTTCGCGCAATTTTTTTTTTTTCAAGATCGCATTTTTTTAAAACCAAAACTTTGTGAAACCTTGCCTAGATCTCGCTCATAATACCTCACTGATAGCAGATCGACAGATATACAAAAAAAAAAAAAAGAAGAGGGGGGGGGTGATCCTCTTCTTTTATTTTTTATTTTTATTTTATTCTGTTGATTAGGACCGGGAATGGAAAGTCCAGTTTTGTTACCTTTCTGCGTTTCCCTCCCACCCAGCCCTTTGTCTGCATTCCCGGTTTGGTAAGTGCCACGTCAGCAGTGCCACGACAGCAGCAGTGCCACGTCAGCAGTGCCATGTCAGTCGCAGTGCCACGTCATCAGTGCCACGACACCAACAGTACCAACGTCAGCAGTGCCCCGCCACCATGACAGTTTCAGCTTTGGGCATGCCAGGCCAACTGGCCAACGAGTCCATTGCCGAGTACCGACAGTGGTTCCAAGCTCAGCTCGCACTGATCGAGGCTGAGGAACAGCGCCAGACAGCAGCCGAGGCCGCCCGCGGAAGCGGCGGCAGCAGCTGAAAAGCAGTGGCTTCAGGCCGAAGCTGATGCAGATGCCCAGGCCCGCTGCAAGGAGGCCCAGGATGTGCTGCAGCGGCACGAAGCCGTCAGCGTCGACAAGCTCAATCCTGGCATTTTGAACCATCCGAGAGCCACGAAGACGCGACACCGGAAGAGCAGCACAAGGAGTTTCTCGCCAAACTCGTGACCCGGCTGGTTTACACTTGTAACCACCTGCAGTCCGAGCTGGCGAATCTCCGACGGACAGTAAGGAACCACAAGGATCTGCACGAGGATGCTACACGGGCACTTAATTCCCGTGTACAGGACTTGGAGCAAGCAGCACCAGGACCAGATGCTGGTGAACCCAGCAGTGCACCCTCAACCTGCCAATTGGAGGAACGAGTTGACCATGTAGTCGCAATGCTTGGAGACATCAGCACCTTCCCCGCACCAGCCACCATCAACAAGCAGCTCGGCACCTAGAACACTGATCTCAGGCAGCTACAACAGCCACCCAGCAACGATGGCAGCAACAGTGCATCGCGGCCATACAAGATGCCAACTTTCCGGATTGAGAAGTTTGACGACTATACACATCAGGACCCAGTCATCTGGTGGGAAGACTTTATGATGGAGCTTGGGATTCATGACGTCCCCGCTCACTTGTACATCTCGGCGCTGTTCCTCAACGCCAAGGGCGGATGCCAGATCTGGCTCAGCCACATGGCAACCATCCACGGTGTCCAGGTCTCCGATCTGCACAAGAAGATCTCCTGGGACGAGATGACGAGGGAATGGAAGAAGCGGTTCATTGTCGACGACGCCCTGACGCTCGCCATTAACCGCCTCTTCAGCATGACTCAAGGCAACACACTGACATGCGACTGGCTCACGGAATGGCAAAAGATCGTGGCAACACCCGATCTTGACTTGCCATTTTCGCATCTGCGCCAGGAGTTCTACAACCGGTCGTGTGTCGCCTTGAGCCTCGCACTTGGTGATCGAGAACAGTACACGACCTTCGCCGAAATTATCGACAAGGCGCGTGACATCATCAAGAGCAACCGGGCTGCTGCACACGAGAAGTCAGCGTGGCAGCCAGCCTATGTGGAGAGAGGAAAATTTGGCCCGCGTCCGCAGCAAGTCGCTGCAATCCAACCGGACAGCATTGTCGAAGACCCGGCAGCCACCCCAGCATCACGTGAGGGAGATCAGGTGGCCGCCGTCCAGCCGCGAAGCAACAACTCCCCTATCAAAGGGAAGGCGAAAACAGCATCGCCGGCCGGAAATGGACAGCCAGTACCATGGGTCAAGTTCAACTTGACGGAGGCCGAATACAAGTACCGCAGCCGATACGGTTGCTGCTATTGGTGCAACAACAACAAGCACAAGACCTCCCAATGCCAAGATCAAGGCAGGGAGGATGTTCGACCTCGAATCAGCTCGGGAAATTGAGCTGCGCGGGAGGTGAGGCGACTCCACCTCTCACTCCATCAAATTCAGCTGCCTTGCTAGCAGACTCCTACACATCTGGGGAGAATGCGGATGTCGCGAGTCCTCGGTTCACTTACGAGGATTACGCTGTCCACTTGGTCCCACCGTTGGACCAGACTCCACGTGCAACAATCCACCACATGCACGGTTTCACCACCATCGTCAACCAATTCGGCAGCTTCGCCACCAACTTTCGTCGGGGATTCGACGTCATGGTCAAGACTTGAGAGACTCGACCCGTTGACGTTCGCTGACTTCCAATGGATGCCCCTTCCCCCAACAGGTAGATTGCCAAAACCGCATTGCAACGTGCTTATGGCACGATTGCGGGATTACTTGCACACTGCAGTACCAGCTCCATTGATGGACGCCGGAGTAGCGGTTGTTGACCTTCACGACTACGTTGCGAAGATCGACCTCGAGTTCAAGACACAACGGCACGACAACATCGACGCGCCATTGTTGTGCATACGCATTCAGATCAGAGAGGCGACCTGCAACGCTTTGATCGATTGCGGAGCTACTCGCAACTATATCAGCCAAGACTTTATGGTATGCGCTGGCCTTGGGCCACGTTCGGAGGAAGTCGCAGCCCACGCAAGTCACGTTGGTCGACGGTCAAACACACAAGTCAATCGACCGGTGCATTGATTCCGTCCTCGTGTACTTTGCCCCGCATGCAAGCGAGGTCGTGTCCTTCGACATTTCGGACACCCAGTTCGACATGATTTTGGGCATGTCATAGCTACGAAGCGATGATCACCCCGTGAACTTCTACCGCTGCACCATTCACGTTCGTGATCGGAACAGAGTATTAGTCCCATGCATGGTGCCTCCACCTCACCCTTCGATCAACTTCCACGTGGTGTCCGCCGCAAGCATTCAAACTTCCATCACCAAGGACGACATCGAGGAGATGGGGGTATGTTTTCTCCACGCTCTCCCTCCCCATGACATCCCATCGACAGACGCATCAACGGACCCACACATCACCGAGCTTCTCGACGCCAACAACAACATGTTTGAAGCCCCGCACGGGGTAGTACCGAATCGGCCCATCCGCCACGAGATCATCCTCGAGGCCGGGGCCGTACCTCCTCGTGGTTGCATCTACCGCATGAGCGAGGAAGAGTTAACTGTGCTAAGGGCACAACTCGACGACCTTCTTGAGAAAGGCTGGATTCGGCCTAGCTCTTCGCCATACGTTGCTCCCGTTCTCTTCGTCTGGAAGAATCTTGTGGTTTTGCATTGATTATCGTAAGCTCAACGCACAAACCGTCAAGAACGTCAGCCCTCTTCCATGCATCGACGACCTTCTCGAACAGCTGGGCGACGCTAAATTTTTATCCAAACTTGACCTCAAATCGGGATATCACCAACTTGAGATCCGACAGGAAGACCGCTACAAGACCGCGTTCAAGACACGATATGGGCATTTCAAATGGTTGGTTATGCCATTTGGCCTTACGAATGCCCTGGCCACATTTCAAGCGGCTATGACGACAGAGTTCCGACACATGCTGGACAAATTTGTACTCATCTACCTCGACGATATCTTGGTGTACAGCCGGAGCACCGTTTTGGAACGGCTACGACAAGCCAAGTACAAAGCCAACCACAACAAATGCGAATTCACGCGGCAAGAGCTCGAGTACTTGGGCCATTATGTGACGCTGCAAGGCATCCGTCCGCTTGCGGACAAGACCGAGGCCATCCACGTATGGCCCAAGCCCACCAACACCACGAACGTTCGCTCATTCATGGGGTTGGCGGGCTACTATCAACGCTTCATCACCGGGTACTCAAGAATTGCCGCACCATTGACGAGATTACAATTGCCAAAGGTGCCATTCGTATTCGATGACGACGCGTGCTGGTCATTCCAAGCACTCAAGACGGCCATGCTCATGGCACCCGTCCTTAGCATCTACGACCCCACCTTGCCAACGAGAGTGACTACTGACGCTTCCGGCTATGGCATTGGGGCAGTCTTGGAACAACACGACGGCGACGATTGGCAACTCGTGGAGTATTTCAGCCACAAGGTGCCTCCCATCAATTCACTTGATGATGCCAGGAAGGAGCTGCTTGGGTTCGTGATGGCTCTTAAGCGATGGCGGCACTTCCTCCTTGGGTGTCGTAGGTTCACATGGGTCACCGATAACAACCCGTTGACCTACTACAAGACGCAAGATACAGTGAGCAGCACGATCGGACGATGGATGTACTTCATCGACCAATCTGACTTCACACCTAAACATCTCGCCGGCCTTTCCAATCGCGCAGCAGATCCACTCACGCGAAAACCCGATCTGTGCGCTATGACATATCATGCATTCGCGTTCGACGAGGAACTCCAGCGGCATTTCATTCGGGGCTACCAGTCCGATCCAGATTTTGCCACGCTATATGTGCAGCTATCTTCGGATCACCCGCCGACCAGCCATTATCGCATCATCGGCGGGTACGTGCGTCTCCACTCGCGAGGCAAGGACTTATTGTGTGTCCCAGGAGACCGTCGTCTTCAGACTCGCCTTCTCGGCGAGTACCATGACTCGCGACTCGCCGGCCATTTCGAAGTTAATCGGACCATCGCACGACTTCGACAACGATTCCGGTGGTCCGACCTCATTACCGATGTCACTCGGTATTGCAACTCTTGCGAAGTTTGCCGACAAAGAAAGCCCACAACCGCAATCCTTACGGCGAGTTGCGCCCGTTGCCTATTCCACGAGAACCTGGCCTCTCCATTGCCATGGACGTCACCGGCCTGTTTCCCCACGACCGCCTCGAGCACGACGCCATCCTCACGGTCGTTGACCGATTGAGTAAATACGTGCGATTTCTCCCTTGCAAGTACTACGCCACGGCTCCCGAACTTGCACGCCTCTTGCACATCGGCTGGATTTGCAGCCACGACGTACCGGAAACCATCGTTAGCGGCCGCGACACTCGTTTCATGTCGACGTTCTGGACTTCTCTCATGCAGGAATCCGACACGAAGATGAAACCAAGTTCGGCTCGGAATCCACAAACGGACGGGCAAATGGAGTGGGCACATCAAACCGCTCAAATGATGCTTCGTACGCTCATCCGTCCGAATCAGAAGGATTGGGTTGACCGCCTCCCCGACATCGAGTTCGCCTACAACACTTCGTTGCATCCGGCGATTGGCGTGACTCCATTCGAGTTGCACCACGGTGGCCGGAAAGGCCGTATCTTCGTTGATCTCTCCTTCCACGAACAACCGACATAGACGTCGCTTGCTCTCCCGCCTCCGTCTGGAAATACAGGGAATTGCTGGCTCAAGCCCGTGCAAACATGCAAAAGGCTCAAGTCCGCATGCAGCAGCAAGCCAATGCGCGGCGCGTACCATGTCCTATCCGCGCTGGCGACCGAGTTTGGGTCTCTGCGGAAGAGTTCGTGCTCGAACAGGATGTTTCGTGCAAGCTGCTCCCCAAGTGGTTTGGACCATGGACTGTCCGTTCAGCCGCAGGCGACGAGCCCGACGGCCCATCCTTTGTGATCGACATCCCTCCGCATCGAGTGGTCCATCCGGTCTTTCACGCCTCGAAGCTGGCAACATACACGCCAGCAAAGGACGATGACTTCCCGCGCCGGCGAGCAAGACCCTCCGTCTATGGATGGTCATCAGGAAGTCGACCGTGTCATCATGGATCGCAAGTACGCCAACAAGCCTCAACGGTACAAAGTCACCTTTAAAGCATGCAATCCTGATGACACTCAATGGATTTCACGAGCAGATTTGCAAGCATCCGCACCTCTGATCTACGCTCACTACGAACGACTAGCTAAGGAAGCTTCACAACCTGCCCCTCGCACCTGGACTTTGGTCCCTCCCTCCGACAGGCAGCTTTGCCCTCGCAGGTAAGCTCGATCTTTCAAGGAGGGGGGGGGGTGGCATACTGCTCATCCACACGGGCCTGCAGGGTCCGACCAGATGGAAAATAAGGGCCCTCCAGACACTGTGTCGTTTCAGCCTAAAAGCCTGAAAACAAGGGCCATTTTCAGGCCCTCATAAAGTCGACCTGCCCTGAAACTCAGGCGCCAGACCAGGGTTTAGCACAGGCCATTTTTGGGCCTGTTTCAAGACAACCTTTGTTTGAACTTCAACGCCAGGGTCTGGCACGTTTCGGCATTGGCAAGAGCAGCCTCCTGGATGGGCCAGCACTATATAGCACTGGCCCGCCCTGCATGCTGCAGGTAGTTCACGGGGACTTCCCAGGCAGTTCACGTGCACTTCACGTGCAGGAGGCAGGAGGCAGTCTTCAGGAGTTGGCCGCAGCACTCTGGAGGAGCGCTGCAGCGGTAGTAGCTAGCGCTAGAGTAGTCTTCAGCGCTGGGCGCTGCTAGCGCTAGAGTAGTCTTCAGCGCGACATTGGACGAGGGATTATTTGGGACCTATATCGAAGTGCAATCAGACTTATTCTCAAACACACTTTTCATGCATGTAAACAGCAACGCAGCATACTGGCGAAATGCGCCCACTCAAAACTCAGATATATGGCTTTCAGATACGAGTTCACTCTCAATTGGCTATGGCGACTTCAGCGCCCAAACATCTCATTGTTCACATACACTGGATCACCCTGGATATCCCACACACATCACTCTAACACTCGAACACACACACACACACTCACTACTA